GACGCTCTCACATGAAAATGATTTTTCTATTTTAGCACTTTTGTTGTCAATTTCTCTATTACTATCGTCTATACTCACGATGAAGTAGCCTTTCGCTGTCACATAACACTTGTTCTTCTCACATCACAGCCAAACCACAAGGTAAAATCCTCTCCTATTCCTCTGTTAGTTCGGGTACCTTACCTCCTAGCCTAATGCGAATCCAGCACACAATAGCAATTTTTTTTTACCTCCCTGATCCCCGGTAATGATTGTGGTGTGGTTTTGAGTTGCTCTTAGAATGATCAATTTGACTTAAAAAAACTTTATAGATCCCTACTACTCTGAGACTCAGGTCTTATGCGACTGAATAATCATGCCGAGATCTTCACCGCGGCTTCATGAGAGTCGATGGCAAGTAAGCCAAACCATGTGCAAAGGTAATCTACTGATACAAGAAGGAGTGCATAAAATAGAGCACTTCTAATCACGTTATTCACTCTTATATAACTCCTCTTCACTCCACTTCCTTCCGCAAAACCCTCCAGCATCCCAATCTCCATTCCGCGCACCAAACGATGGCCATATAAAACAACTCTCAATCAAGAGTAAATGCCTCAAAGTCATTCATACAAACATCATTGTTACTGCGAGGAGCATCAAAAGCAAAGAACATTGCGCATTATACTTCCCTCCAACCCGCCAGGCCTAGAAACCCAAATTCTCAACTCATGAATGAACTCAACTCAAAGCAACGAGACGAAAGTACTCTATGATAACGACAATTTATCATCGCTCGCGAGAACCCCATTGTCATTGTCAAGCTCCCTTTCCGCTAGCACTTGCTCGAACTTCCTTTTTCAGAAGATTACTGTCATCCATGACAACCAATTTCTCCCCTCCATCTCTTCTGCACGATTCAAACCGACTGCTTTGATCCAACCACAGTGAAATCCTAACTTTCCTTTTGTTTTGATGTCAAATGTAGCTGTAATGAATCCAGTTCTCGAAGGCCAAACCTTTTTACCCGTCCTCCCCCTCGCAACCTCTTTGCCCAACTTCGGGAATGCTGAATCTGTAAACTTTATCTCACCCATCCCACCCAATCAACTGATACTTTACTTAAAGTACTGTTTCCGAGACCATTCAAACATATGTAAACAAAACAGTCATAATTTTAATTTGTATTTATATTTTTATTTGACGAGAAGAAAGGCTCATCAGTCTATTTAGCTTGATGCCTTCTATATTATCCATCCATGAATCCATCCATCCAAGTGGTGAGCCAGCCAGCCAAACAACCAGTCAACCAACTATCTATCCGGATATCCATCCAATCGCCCGACCTGAACCCGTTTCTCCATTCGGTCTGGTGCTTAGTATAACTTCTCGTCTTTCTATGTTTACTAACATCTCGCACTTTTTGTGCTCTTGCCTTGATTCTTGGTATCTCTTCGGCGCGGGTGTATTTTCTCCTCAATGACTGCATGTCATTTCATATCATATTCTCTCTCATACTACCAACTCAGGCGCCCACCTCACCACCAGCACTCTCTACTAATCGCCTTCTCCAGTCCTCACAGACCTGCTCAAATCCCCCAACGACCCCCCGACAAACTCCAGCGCATTCCCTTTCCCCTAACCTCCTCTCCCAATCTCCTTGTTCCACCCACTTCTCTCCTTCTTCTCTGAGCTCCTCTTCCCTTCTCATTTCCCCAACCAATTCCTTTGCCGATTTCAGTTTCCTTGATGCTTGTACTGTAGTTTGCCTAGACATATGTAATGTATCCGACAGGTATGTTATTGTTTGAATTAAATCGGTGGTTAAAGAATGCAAGAAGGTGATAGAGGAAAGAGATTGCGTTGATGGGCGAGGGATAGAATCGCTAAGGGTGTCGAGGAGAGGAAGGAGTGTATCTATAAATTCCGGAGTAGGCGGCGCGGACAGAGGAGAGAAGAGGGGGTGGGAAAGATTCTGGATAAGACGGGTTTGATGGAGGAGGTGCGTTGAAAGGGCAGTATGGGTTGTTACTAGTCTTTTGTTTGGGTTAGCATTTCTATAAAAGGAGCCTAAAATATGTTTCTGTGACAAAAGGAGGAAATGAAAGATATAGAACATCCAGAAAGATTAACAAACCTAGTGGTATTTCCCTCCACCCCAGACTGACCTCCCAAATCTTTCAAACTCTCAATAACCCTCTTAACAACTCCATCAGCTTGACTCCCATTATTTTCTGTACCCCTCCTTGCCAGCCCCTCCACCATATCCATTCTGGCCAATAAAGCCGGTCCAAAGGCCGGACTCTCTAAATCCGAATCTCCTCCATAATCACTCCCATCATATTCGGACGGCGACCTAGCATGACCCAACGCGTGAACTCTCCCATGTCCGGTTGTCGGAGGTGTCAAAGTCGAATTTGAATTCATGGCTGTGTGTTGTTTTTTGGGACTTGTAACATCTACACCACTGTCCCGCACTGCATTTTTGTCCTCTCCCGCATCCTCATTGTCCGACTCCGTTGGCGCCGTGTTTTGAAAATTAAGATCCGCTTCGTCCATTTCTCCTTCGTCTTCACTCCATGCATCTGCTAATTCATCTGCTAGATTTCCAAGCCCATTCCCTCCGTTTTGCGCCGAACCAAGTACATCCATACCAACTCCGTCAACACTACTACTAAAGTCTCGACTCATGTGATTTGGTGTAGTTGGTGTATGTATGGAAGACTTGGAAAGTCTGCGTGAAAGGCTCATTGTTGAGGGTGAGAAATCTAGTGCGGAAGGATGCCGACTATGCCTAGGAGTTTGTGGTGAAGGAGGCATTTTGACAGGTATCGAAGTTTAATTTCTCGGTGTTTCTATCGTCTGCAGGGAATTTTGTGATTCAGAATGGTATCGCGTGTGCTTTTAAGTTTCCCTTTCGTTTGATGTGGTATGATTTCCTACAGTCGTATGTAATGTATTCTCTCCTATTCGATTTCCTAAAACGAATTTAGTTGGATCTGCAATATGAACCAATATTCGTATTCCTAAAAAGCCGTAGCAAAGTCGTAGGAGTTGCAGTATAATGGGATGAGTGAATGATTATGACTCCGCGCACAAATATAAGTGGTTAGTAAAACAACAGTGTTTCTTCTCCTTCTTCGCTGTATTGTCGACGTGGAAACCCAGAGACACTTGAACCTTGTTATAGCATCAAACAACAGCTAAGGTCAACAGGGTAGTCCTCAAATGTGACATCAAATCTCGCTTTTATTATTATTATGAACCAGCGCAGAGTAAAACACCGTGCAAGATGGTTTGGCGAGGAGGATTGATGGGTCCCTGGAAGTCTAATCCTTATCTTATTAGATGGTATGAAACTTGGCGATGAGGTAGATTGAGGGAGGCATCTATCTGTGCGGTTGACAGGAAAGAAATCGTGCCTACTATTCCATTCTGGCTTTCTTTCTCTCAGTCGAACATGTTGGTTTGGTGTTTTTAGAAGTATAAAAAATCGAGAATCTAATCCAAAAGACAAGGCAAGTTCCTTGCCATGCTTGATTCTTAATGTGCCGCAATATCATCGGCGTTCGGTACTCGATGATAGCGGTGACAATTGGCAATATATTTTTTGGTTCATGGTTTTAAGTGATGTTGTAGCTACAAACCACCTTTCATGACACACAAACTCTCCCACAACTCACAATACTGTTCAAATTCCTCATTAAATTATACCAAGCCTAATTAACTGTACGCTCATCTATATATCGACTTTTGAGTACAATATCATCCATCAAAGCTCCAAGCAGCTTAAGAATCACCATCCCAACATCAGTTCAAAAACCATCCACCCACTACCCCTCATCAAAATGACAACCCTCCGCCCATTTTCCGCTCTCGACGTCCTCAAATTTAATCCTACAAACCTCGATCCCTTAACTGAAACCTACGATCTCAGTTTCTATTTCTCCTATCTAGCACGATGGCCACATCTTTTTACCGTCGCGCTCTCTCCTTCTTCGGCCATCACAGGTTACATCATGGGCAAGACTGAGTCCTCTCCTCAATCCATGCTTCTCTCACAATCTCCGCATTACCTTCCATGGCACGCCCATATCACTGCGCTCACCGTCTCCCCTTCCGCGCGACGATTAGGTCTTGCAAGAACTTTGTCTCAGGTTTTAGAGAAGGGCGGAGAAGAATATGATGCTTGGTTTGTGGATTTGTTTGTGAGGAAAAGTAATATGATTGCGCAGGAACTTTACAAGGGACTGGGGTACAGTGTTTTCAGGACGGTTAAAGGATATTATAATGAGTTTGTGGGGGGAGAAGAGGTGGATGAGGGCGAGGGGGAGGATGCGTATGACATGCGGAAACCATTGAGGAGGGACAAGAATCTAAAACATGTTAGAGAGAATGGGGAAAGTTTTGTGGTTATGCCAGAGGACGTTTGGTGAGGAAACATGATTGGAGATTGGTTCGAGATTTGATTTGGAGATGACCTGTTGGGAGTTTGAACGAGGCGGTTGAGACTAATTTCTCCCGCGAAGCATCTTGCCGTAGCGGTGGCTAGGGAGGATTGTGTTTTGAAGTTTGAGAGTTCAAAGCTATGAGAGACATGATAATGAATATCATGGTATCTGGATGAAATACGTCTGTACAGGAGATGGAGTCCATCCAAATATAAGGCGCCCTATCCTAGCACGCATATCTTTCGTCCGTCCACCATTTTGCGTAGTGTTCAAATCTTCATGGTTGGATTGCGTTCATACTCGACTTTTCTATCTTGAAGTCAAGCCTAAGTTCCTGTCTAGAGGAAGTTTTCGATCATTGTGTGATAAGATTTCCTGGAATTGTCGATTATGAAACGGGACTAAGGTACAAATGTCCGACACAATTTGATGACTGGCTTTCTCTACAGATATGCGGGACATGGAATAGAGTTTTGTACAAGATATTTTATGCACCTATTACTTATAAAGTAGACCACCCAACCCACCGCATTTGTTCTCCCTTCCCCTCCCCTTACCATACCCCATCCCCTACATCCCACCATCCAACTCCGGCACCCTACTCCCCACGCTCTCCCCGGGCAAACTAACCTGTTCCTCAAATGCTCCCCCCAATTTCGCAAAATTATACAATCCATGCACAATCGCCTCTTCATGTTCAACTTTCCCCATACTATCGAGCGTTCCCTCGGTTGGGAATTTCTGGCCTACTTCACCAAGGACTCTTGTGGTTTCGGTGTGTGCTGCGCTGTTATGGATAGAGCCACCTGTGTGGGAAATTGCAGGAAGCGGGGGAGAGAGAGAGGACAGAGTGAGGGTATTGGAGACTGGGAGTTTGTGTCAGGACGGCTCAGAGAGTGTAAAGGGAAGGGGAAGAAGAACAAACTTTTAGGTTCAATCCCAATTTCAAATTCTACTCCTCCGAAAATGTCCTCGAAATCCCTATCTAACCTCTCAACTTTCAATCTCGGTGTTCTTTTCTCCCCAGCTATATCTTCATATCTATATTCCATAAACCTCTCTTCTTCATCCCTATCTTTCTTTCCTCTCCTACTCATACTCCTCAATTTCTCAGAGATACGATGCTCAAGTGTTTGAAATTTAGAAGAATGAAATGTATGAACAGGCGGATATTGTTTCTCACTCGGTCTCTCAAGCAAAAACACAAATGTAAATTCCCGCGGAAGTCCCGATTCCTGCTGCGCATTTTCCTCAAGCGAATAATGAAGGAGAGTATCCGGAAAACGGGTCGAATGGTGAAAAGTGCTGCGTGTGGAACCTTGTCTTTATACATGCATAACATAATCAATAACCCAAATACGAAAAAGAAAAAACCAGCAGAAGCAGAAAAGAAGAAAAGAATACATACATCTTCATCATCGTCCCCACAACTTTACTTTTCTCCTCTCCAATACTTGGCTTCACACATGCATTTGCCGGTCCCTGCGTCACTCCCAACGAAGCCCCTAGTTGAAAATTCCACTTCAAACTCTCTGTGCTTATTTTTCCATATGCTTGATGCGGCGCATATTTTAGAATCTTTAAATTCTCTTTTCGATCACGGACTTTGATATCGATTACTGCGCTCTCAAAACGGTGCGCAGGGGTAGAGGGATGGAATATGAAACTGAGAGCGATGAATGTTACGTGTAAGGTATGTTTGGTGTGGAGATTGGCATCGGAATAGATACCGTGTTGGAGGCGTTGAAGATGCACGGATATGTATGTGTGGCCGGGGAAAGAGGATTCGAAGAGTAGGTGAGAGTTGATTTGATATTTTTCATCGGGACCGTTTTTGTTGGATTTGGTGGTGTTGGGGGGAATGGTGGAGGAAATGGTTGTGGAAGGGATGGGTGAGATGGTTGTATTGATGATGGGAGATTCGGAAGAGGTTGAGCTTGGTTCTTTGGATTTTTGGAGTGGAGGAGATGTTGTGTTGGTAGTGTTGTTCTTAGAAGTGATTGTATTCTTGAATGTCTTCTGAATCTTCTCGGAAGTCGCACTTTGGGAAAGCTGCAAGTCTTGGGGCGTCTGATCGTCTGGGGTTGTTTTTTCTCGGTTTGGTTGTTTGAGGGGGCATGGTTTCAAGGATGACTTCCTCTCTGGAAGTGTTTTCAAATTTGGCACTTCAGAAATGCGTCGACTGATAGACTTGCAGTGCTTTTTCATGTAGGAAGTCATCCTTGAGAATATGTATTGAGTAAAAATTGATTGTGAAGCTGACAGAAGCACAGAAGAAGGATATGAATATGAAGTAACTGAAGCTGCTTGGGAAAGTGCTCTGTCACTTCTGCCCTTGTAGTGAAAGTTTTAGATGCCTAAAAACATAAAAGGCTATCGGTGGTACTCCGAATAAAGGCATCACAGAAGCTTGCGTGACGGGATTCTCAAAGTATAAATTGTAGCTAGAGTCTAAAGCTGGCATATTCGGACCTTCCACCCACGTAACTTTTGTGAGAGGACATCAACAAACCCAATTGTGGTTACAAGAACCACGCATTTCGATCATGAAAGTTATAAGAAAAATAAATCGCTAGCTAAGAGATCTTCCATGACATACATTGTCACTGGTAGAACATCTAAATCCAATCCAACCCCCAACCAATAGATCATCAAACTTTTGGATACAATTGCATAGCAACTACTATTACTTCTGGAAACATTTCAGTTCTTCCAGTTTCGCTGAAACCATTTTTCGTATATAGCAGAGTTCCAGCGGGAGAGGCTTCAAGTACAAGGGGAACCTGCTCCTTTTGAGCCAAATCAATTCCATATTTGAGCATCATTCCACCAATACCACGACGATGAAACTTAGGATGTACTGCTAAAGCAGCCAACTCCAAATACTCTGGAATTGACCCAAAATGATCAATCGATAGATTTCTCATGTAATGAATCTTATCCCAAGGCCGGTCGCGATCAAGGAAGTATTCAGAATACCACATTTCTGCTCCTATTAACGTTCTTTCCAATTCTGTTCTGATGATTAGTGAATTCACGAAATAGAAGGTACGAGAAGATCATACTCGAAAACAAAGTATCAGTTTGCCACTTCTTTGCAGCTTCGCTCTTTCCCGCTCTTGTCCAAAAGGCATATCCAAGCAACTCGGATTCTCCAGACCAAAATTCATCCTCCTCATCGCTCACTGACACATAACAATGTGTGCCGGCTTCAACAAGACGTTTCCGTATACGTAAATTAATACTTCGACGGAGTGAGCCATTCGCAACAGCTTCGGGTGGAAAAAGTATGGTTTGTAAATTGTCATCACGGAATGCTTCGGTTCCAAGATCAGCCAGAGCGGGCAAGTCATCTCTTTTCAATCGTCTGAGATGCATGATTCTTTGTTGGGTTTGAAACTTAGCGGGACGATGGAAAGTAGATGTTGAGAAGATGTTTGGCAAGAGTGGTCAATGTCATTCCTTACTTTGGTACTTATAGCAAGTCGGCACAAATACCCGTCGGAGGATTCGTTATCTATTACCAATCCATGTAAGTAATAAGTGACTCGTATCAACATCAGATTGAAGTCGTCACTGGCCTGATTGAACTTTTACATGTCCAGCTGGAGTTGCCTAGTCGTCCAATTGTTGCTGACTGAAGTGACTAAGCTAAAAGATGACACACGCCGACGCATAGAGTGGGAGCATAGTTATCCAATCACAAAGTTATCAAACCGTCAATGCTAAGCACCGAATGTCATTTCCGGAATCAAGCGTCACATTCAATATCATATTTGTTTGACACAATTTTCAGCATCGGATGATACAATGGGTAAGAATGATAATAATAGTGACAAATATCTATATAGGAAGTAAAGATTTCAACTCTTACGAGAAAAATGTTAGAAGAAGCTAGCTAAAGTACAACTCTCTTGCTCATCTCCTTATTGAAAAAAGAAAAGAACCTCCCTCAAATATCCCCTCATTTTCGCATCCATCGAGCAACAAAAAAACTCTTGACCACCAGACAAACCTTGCTCTTCACGATCGCATCCCCTCTACTCTAATACCCCTCTCCATAACTCCCACATCTCCCCTCACCTCCTACCCCCTTATTAACAATATAACAATCCGCCTTCTGTTGCACACATTTCACCAATGCACTTGCATACGTATCAACCCCTCCACCACCTCCATATCCACAACCCTGAGCATAAGTACCCGCACAACTTTCATATTGTGCGTCACAAGCATCTTGACATCCTTGCTCACAGTCCGGTCTTTGGTAACTGGGACTATCTTCTGAGATTCTGGCTGTATACAGTTTAAATGGGTATCCTGAGTTATAATCTGGCTGGACATTGTTGCATGTATAGCATGGAAGGGGGATTGACCCAACAGGAGAATAGGAACTGTATCCTTGCGAAGGATTATTAGGTTGAACGCAGATGTTGTTGCATGTAGGAAGAGGAGCGATTGAAGTAGTGGATGTAGGCTTGGATGATGAAGTTTGAATAGTAGTGGGACAAGTGAAGATACTTGTTTTTACACTGATGACTGGGGGCGTATAGCCTGCGGGAGGATGTCTGGATTTACATCCAGTATTTGAACAGGCAGATCCAGGACAATAGCTCCCACAATAAGATTCAATTTCCTGACACCAAGAGGAAAATTGTAAACATTGGAGAGATCCAGGGAACCCAGCAGACAGAAGACAGGATGTTAATTGTACGAGACAAGTGTTTGCAGCAGCCAAACAAGAATTTTGATCGGTGAAGGGAGGGAGAGGATTAGAACACCAGTTTCCAACTTTATATTCGCAGGTTGGAGTTGGACTTGTAATAATAGTGGTAGTGCATATTGTAGCGCTGGTTTTTGATGTAGTCGGAGAGGTAGTAGTGGATGGTTGGATGGATGATATGGAAGTCGATGGTGAAATCGGAGTTGTCGAGGATATTGGAGCAGCTGAAGATACTGAAGATGAAGGATATATTGTGGTCAAAGATTGAGGAATAGTAGAAGGTGAAGAAAGAGAAGAAATGGTGGAAGAAATTGTAGAGGAAGATAATGTTGGGGAAGTTGGTCCTGCTGTTGAGGCTTGCGATGATGATGGAAGAGTAGCTGGGATTGATGACTACAGTATACCATACTCAGTACAAACATTTCAAATGAATTCTTTTATAAGAGACGAATAGTCAATGCAGCATTTGAAGAGGAAGAATTCCCAACATGTACATGAGACTGAAAGTTCATTTCGGAGAGGCATTGAATGGAGAGGAGTGCAAGATTCATAATTGATTCGACTTACCGATGACGACGGAGGAGTAGATGAAGGAGGCGAGATCGAGGAAGAAGATGCAGGAGCCGAATATGTGGTCGGTGGTGATGAGGAATATGGTGGAGAAACAGGCGTGGAAGACGGGGTTAGAGCAGCTGATGAAACGGACGACTAGATGTTTCAGAGTCAGTCTCATTCTATGAATCAAAAATTCAAGAAAATAGTAATAAGCAAAGAGCTTTTTAGGATATCAAGGGATTTTATGGATTGGATGAGAGCAGACGTGAGGAATATCTGAGATTAGAGAATTTGAAGTATCAAAATAATTAATCTTACCGATGACGAGGCGGGCGACGAGGAAGAAGCCGAAGATGAAGGAGCAGATGAGACTGGAGATGAAGAGGAAGAAGCTGAAGCTGAAGCGGATGAATACGACGATGAAGCGGAACTTGAGGGAGTTGACGAGGAAGAAGGCGGGGAAGGGGAAAGCAACGTTGACGATGACGACGGATAAGCTGTTGAAACCGACGACTGCAGATTTCAGAAGTCATTATCTATGATCAGGAATTTCATGCAAGATAGAATCACGAATGGATCAAGACTTTAAGTGGTGATATGATATAATGTTTCAGAAACATTTCATCGTGAGGATCACATTATGAGGATTGGACTTACCGATGAGGATTCTGGTGCAGAAGAAGCCAGTGAGGAAGAGGACGAGACTGGTGCCGACGAATAGGTAGTTGCGGATACCGGGGCCGAAGAGTAAGGAGGTGGTGTATAAGGCGGAGGAGTATATGGCGGTGGAGAATAATGTGGTGTAGAAGCTGCTGAAGATGAACTAGTATCACTTGACGAAGAAGAAGAAGAACTCGAGCTGGATGAACTCAAAGTTGAAGTAATAGTTGTTCCAGTTGATGAGGATACTGGAGCAGAAGCAGAAGCCGAATTAGATGAAGGAGATAGGCTGGTGGAAGAAGATGACACTGGGCCACCTGGATTACCATTGCAAGGATCCGTTGATAGCAAGTCCTCGGCGACGTAAAGGTATATATTTGCTGCACCACCACATAACTCGGTGGTATTACCATTACAGGTCATTTGACAATTTGACTCATCAACTTTTGCGGTTCCGTTACCAAGTACAACGCCACAATAACATTCTTGTGAGTATTCAACTCCAGCAAAAGCATACCCTCCTTCTTTGCATGCATGAAGACAAGCTTCGATTGTTAAATCAGCGTCGGGAATTTGGTCTTGTTTCCATGCAAGAGTACGACCGTTGGGCCCGAGATCGGAATAACATCCCATTGGTTGGTAATCAGAAATGGTTGTACTATTGACAGTTGGGAATGTGGTATCTTGGTATACTGAGAGAATATCATTGCCACCACACGATTCAGTATTATCTCCAGTACATGGGAAAGAACAATTTGATTCGGATGTTTGTGGGCCACCAACAGAAGCACCGCAAAAGCATTCACCATAACTACATAATGTCAGTTATTGTTCCAGTTATTATTCTGAGTCTTCCAGGTAAAAAGAAGACAGCCGTCTGTCGTTGGTAAATTTAGAGGTATTGCGCCTGTACTCACTATTCTAACCCCGCATATTTATATCCATTGCCTATGATAAATTAGTGACCATTCGATAGACAACAAACTTCAAATACTTTACCTTTACAGAAATCAACACATATTTCAACTGTCATGTTTTGACTGTTGAGATCGGTCCTGAATAACAAGGCACTTGGGGAGCTTGGATCTATGAAACAGCCTGCGTAAACAAAATCTGTAGTATTTGTACATGTAGGAAGCTCTGGTGCCCATCTTTCAGCCAGTAAAGAACCAGCATTGGTGCCTAAAAAGAGCGTAGTCATTGCCGTTGCGATCGAGAGCGAGGTGAAGCTCAGCATTTCGGATAGTGATGAAAGTAACAAAAACAAAATACTGGCGAGCAATATGTGTCAAAAGAAAACTGAGCTTACTGGAACCACTCTGAACATGAAGAATAAATTTTGGACATGGATTGAGACAATATATACCTTTTCCGCACTTAGAACCTATGGTGATAAACATAGTGTCTCCATAAAGACGAAATCGGTGTTCAGTTGTGATAGCAACCCAAGATGTTTGTGCAAAATGATACATTTGGTTATTCCCAGTAGCAAACACAACATTATTTGCAGATAAAATCGCGTGGCGCATGCATGGTAACTGTGCAATTTTTGATGTTGTGAGCTATAGATGGTATGATAACAAAAAAGTCTAGACAAGAAGACAATAGCTGACTATAAAATTCCGAAGAATGCACACTTACTCGGATTTGCGGCAACCCGAAAAGGTTGCAGATATACTTCCACGCTGTATTGTGTATATTTATCTCGGTGAGATTATCGTGGATTATCACGAGTGGAAAATTTTGATGGTTTTGGGATCAAAGGCGCGATAAAGTTTTCTTCCCGACACCATTTGTAGAACATGCTTGAGCATACAACTGATTTGACACTCTTCGGAGGAATTGAATAAGCTCGATCATGACCGATGGTTCATGACAGCTTGACATTTAAGTGGAAAAGCCTTGAGTTTATTCTTGATCCTTTCTTGGAAGCACTGGAATCGACCAGAACATTGAAGTAACATTATCTTCCCAAATCAATTGAACCTGTCGGTTTTAATCCCCTTTTACCGTTACTACATCCGTTTTAGTCAGGAACGTTAGCATCAGATGTCCGACTTGAGATGAGAACCTTGTTGTAAATGTAACCATATGATGTTGAAAGCTTTCTAGGTACCTCGACCTAGCCACTTGGAACTATTGAAATGAAGGAAGCTTTTGCGTATCTTTGTGCGGCTGACATGTAGAATATTGGGAATTGATACATTCTGTCCTTTCATATGTATGCTACCTTGAACACAGTAATGTGAGTTTGATATGGAATGAGAAAAATGACAAACATATTTCTGGTTGAGGGGCAACGAATACTAATTGACTGCATTCTTGTTGTATACCTTTTAATCTTGAGGAACGGCTACTTCACTTGAAGAGGCTGAACATGTTTCCTAAGTGGTAACTTGTACTGTACGCAGTGTGAATATTTGTAGAACTTCGTTGGACCATGCATGGAATCTTCTCCACACTCAAGGGATCTCATTTTGCTGCTGCTGTGTAAGCCCGCAGTACTACTGGAGTATCATCACTTCGTATCCCAAGATTCTTCATTCGCTCTAGAACTTTCGTAGATTGGTTCGGGCCGTCAAGTGTAGATATTCTCATGCGGGTATCGTGCATCTATTTGTGCACCGTAACGCGTCCACGAAAATAAGGGCTGAAGTTGTTTGGATCGTGATCAAGCTTTGAATCCGGAACCTTGCGTCTGTTTAAAATGAGTGCGCGGGTTAAAGATACGAAAAAGCGCCTACCTGAATCGAAAGCTCATATTGAATATTCATGAGTGACATCTTGCTGCCGGTTGATGTGGTGGCGGGATTGTATACTTTCTAGCTGCCCGGATAATTATTGTTCAACACATGCCAAAGTCAATCGAAATCCAACCATTTACCTAGTCGGTCCTGCACAAAAGAACACATTGGAAAAATTTCAATTGACTTTGGTCCATCTTTTGCTGAATGTACACAAAGTCTCCTAGCTAGGTAATTTAATCATCAAGAATAAATAGGGTACTTTCTGACCATTCCTATTTTAGACTACCTTTCATTACCAAAATTAATAAAAAAAACTTTTTTATTTATAAATAAAATTTATTGAAAATTTATATGTATACAATCTAAATCATTTTAAGTTTCTTTCGAAAATTTCAGATTTTAGGATTTTTTAAATAAAGATTTTGTCACGGATCGGCCCTAATCGCAACTACGATTGCTCACATATGCATGCGCATATATGTACGATCATATATATATAGCTAATATATAAATACACTTTATAAGCATTTTGCTCTCGATTCTATAGTTATAGATTTTAAGAATAAATTATATCCTATTCTTATAATTCTTTTATAATAAAATATTATATTATCTATAATTTATTATATAATTGTATGGTTATTTAATAATTAATTAAATAATTGTTACAACGGATTAGTAACAGGCTGTAGAATCACTGACTTATAGGCTATAATGGTATTATAGGCCTCAGTGATTCAGCTGCAGTATACCGGGGGACACTAGGCACCCAAGGAAAGCCTCAGGCATGTATATAGTATTAGTTATAGAATACACTGAATCATAGGACATGGTTCCTAGGACAGTAGGGTCCTAAGAAGAATAAGCAATACAGGACACAGTAAGCAAGAGAGGTCTTGCTAGGATTAGTAAGCTCCCAAGGGATTAGCCCTAGGACAGGAAATAAGACAGGACGACAAGACTCACGGGACTAGTATCACGTGATGGACCATCCCATCAGTCCCACCGATTATTATCAATGGGATCAGTGGGATCCCACTACGCCCACTACTCTCAGTGAGTGGGATCGATGGGATCGCAGAGTGCAAAGGTCTATATAAGGGAAAGGGTTTCCTTACATGTAGAGCTTCGTGCTCAAGAACAATCATTAGTTTCATTACTATAGTTACGAGAATTGCAACCAGTTACAACCTTATTGAATTCCTACTTGAAGTCTAGTCTAAACCACCTCGAGAGATCTCTAGACACTTCCACGTGACCCTAGAGGCAGCTCCCGTAACATTCAATTAATTAATAAGCTTGTAGCAATTTATAAGAATTCTATTAAAATCGACTATACATAAATTAAATACAAATATTAGATTATACTTAATAATACCCAACAAGGTAATTTCATATTATAATATTAAAAGTTTTAATTATTTATTATACAAATAGAAATTATTAATAATAAAATACTTTTTTATAATTTAAAAAGGAAAATGTTCGATTTCCTTTAATAAACTATTAGCTTTTATATCAAAGAATATATTATTATTAAAGATCTTATTAATAAGCTTATAGAAATCAACAAATTTGAAGTTATTATTTAAGAATATAATTGTTATAAACAAATTAGGAATATATTAATCAAAAAGTCTATTAATAGTACTTCTATAGAAAGTATATCTAAAAATACTTTTCAACTATCTAATAATTCTATTTTATCTTTTCAAGCTTATATTCTTTATCCTCTTTATATTTTAAACAATTATATAAAAATCTTTAAATCAAGTATTACTTTTATTTCAAAAAACAACTTTAATTATAATATTACAATCCCTATTTCAAGAATAAACTATAATATAACGCCATACACAAATAACTTCAATATTATAATCAAAATCCAAAAGACTAAAAAATCCGAAGATTTCTATAATACTAAAGAAAGTATTAAGAAGGATATAGATTTAAAAATATAAGCGAAAAATATCGAATCTATTTATACTATTAAAGATTAATATTTAAATCACAATATTTAAATAAAAGTTCTTATTTAAATATAATTCGAAATATAAGATTTCTCAATTTAATAAAACTAATAAAAAGTGATTTTATAACCTTACTCTATATTCTATCGAAAAACAAATATTCATTTAAAACTTAATCTTTTATAAATTCTAAAACAAATAATTATACTTTTATTAATAAGATATTCTTTATGTTATTATTTCTTATATTTAAACTTTCTATTTTACTATTTAATATTATTATTAAAATCAAAGGCTATAATAATATAATAGATAAAGCTCTTATTCATTATATATTTCTTAATCTTATAATTAATATCTAATAATAATCATATATACTATTTTACATTACAGATTTAAAATCTTATAATATAATCTTAGATTATATATAGTTAATAAAGACTCAAATTAAACTAGATTGTTTTAATTAATATTTTGATTAATTTATAAAGTGTTTTCTACTATTTTTTTATTAAAAAATATGATTTGAATTAAAGATAGTCTTTAAGCTTTTAAAATTAATTACTTAAAACAATAAGACACTGATAATCGGGATATCCAATTAAATAATATATATTACAAACTGAATAACAGATAACAAACTATAATAGCGATTTTATTAAAAATAATTATTACCCTTTTTTAAGATATTAAGGAAGTATTTCCAATCCTTATTAAAGCTCAGGTTTTAGTAAAACTGGGAAAGAAACCTACTTTCTCCAAAGCCCTTATTTAAGCTGTATATAAATCATTACCTTTCTATATCTTCAATATATTCAACATTTGTATACTTAAATTAATATAATTTCAATTCATTTATAAAAAGAATAAGAATTATAAGATCTTTGTGATTATATATATAGAAATTGACAATATTATTTTAATTTATAAATCTAATTAAAATAATAATTATTAAATTTCAATTATAATTATCTTTTTAAACAATTTTAAATTAGAAATAATTACTACTTTTAATTATATTATTATAAATATTGAAATAAAACTATCAATTCTTAAAGTTTATTAGTAATACTATTAAACATTCTTCAAATGTAATTTCGATATTCTATCTCTCCTTTAATTATATAATTATAAGAGTATTCTTAAAAAAAAGATGAAAAAGCTCTTAAATATAATCCTTTATATAAAATATTACTCAAACAGTTTAAAATCGTTAAAGAATATATGATTAAAAATCTTATCAAAGAATTTATAAAACTCAATTAAGTACCCTTTACTATATCAATTCTTTTTATAAGAAAATTAAATAAAAGCTTAATATTCTATATAGATTTTTAATTATTTAATTCTTTAATATATAAAAATAGATATTTTTTACTTTTTATTAATAAGATATTTGTTCAATTTATTAATACAAAGGTATATATTAAATTAGATATTTAATAAGCATTTCATTATATTTATATAAATTCTACTTTTAAAAAGTATATTATTTTTTATATTTAATATAATTTCTATAAATATAAAGTTTTATTTTTTAAACTGATAAACAACTCTACAATTTATTAATAATATATAAATAATATTTTATTTGATTATTTAAATGATTTTTATACTATTTATTTTAATAATATATTAATCTATTTTGAAAATGAAAATAAATATAAAGAATATATTAAATATATTTTCAAATAATTTAAATCTATTATTAGCCTATAAGTAGATCTTAAAAAGTATAAATTTAATATTAAATATATTAAATATTTAGATTTTATTATCTTTATTAAAAGAATATAAATCGATTTAGAAAAAATTAAAGTAATTATTACTTGGATTTACCCTATTATGATAAAAAGTATTTAGTTATTTCTAAAGTTTTATAATTTTTATTACCAATTTATTAAGGATTATAATATAATAATAAAACCTTATTACAAATTTATAAAAACGAATATCACATTTCACTTTAACAAAATCTGTTAGAATATATTTGTTATATTCAAAAATAAATTTATTTTTATTTCTCTTCTATAATATTATAATTATATATTACCCTATATATTAAAAACCGATATATTTAATAATATAATTACCAATATACTCTTTTAAAGATATAATAATAAATGATTATTAATTATTTACTTTTTAAAAATAATAATTGTTATTAAATTGAATTATAAAGTTTATAATAAAGAAATACTTGTAATTATCAAGTCTTTAGACTATTAAAAAGTCGAATTTGTCGGATTCTTATATTAGATTAAAGTCTATATTGATTATAAAGCTTTCAAATATTTTATATTAACTAAACAATTAAATACTTGTTAAATATATTAAGCAAAATTATTTATCAATTACAATTTTCTTATTATATACCATACTGAAAAGAACAATCCTCTTATAAATATGCTTATATATTATACTAATAAATTGAATTAGTAAAATAATATTAAGAAAAAGAATTGTTTTTAATAGTTTATAAAAAACGATTAGGTAAATATAAAGATTATATATAAATTCTTATAATAAGATCCGAATATAATTATATATATTGATATATATACTATTATATTACTTTTCGATATTATAAATTAAATTATTAAAGCAAATAGATCTTTTTAAAATTTAAAAGCTTTATATAATTATATAATTAAATCGTATAAGTATTTTACTTTTGAAAAAGGACTTTTACTTTATAATAATCAACTTTATATATTGAATATTAATAATTTACAAATCTATCTAATTTGTGAAGTTTATAATTCAATTTTAATCATATATCCTGGTATAAAGAAGATATTTGTTCTCTTAATAAAACAGTATTATTAAAATAAAACAATTCAAATTATAAAATAATATATATAGAATTATTACAAATACAAATGTAACTCCGTTTTAAGAAATTACACCCTCGATTTTTTATACCTATTATTTGTTCTAGTTCAAATATGATAATATATTATTATAAATTATTATAATGTCAATAAAGATAAATATAATTATAATAATGTATTTGTTATAATTAATCAATTAATTAAACAAGTAATTTCTATACCTTATTATAAATTGATTAATTCAAGAAACTAAGCCCGTTTGTATTTATATTATATTTATAGATATTATAAATTCTTAGAATTTATAATCTTTGATTATAGTTTTCAATTTATATTAAAATTTTAATAAGAATTTAATAATATCTTAGGAATATAAGTAAAGTTATTTATTATTTATTACCTATAAACTAATAGTTAGATTGAGATTTATAATTAATATTTCTAATAGTATTTGTAATCCTTTATAAGTTATTATTAAGATGATTAATTTGAATTCTTATTAATAATGGATTATACTTAGTTTATACTTTCTTATAAATCATTAGGTAGTTAGATCTTATATAAGACTTTATTGTTACGCCGGTCCATCCTCGGTACCGCGTCACATGACTCTTAGCACGTGATGGACCCTGCATGACAGGCATAACGGAATGTAGGTCCATACAGACCAAAGGTCCAGGACCTCTCTAGGTCCTGAACGCTCCAGTACAGTACGAAGGTCTATATAAGGGAATGGGATTTCATTACAATGTAGAGCTTCGTGCTCAAGAACAATCATTAGTTTCATTACTATAGTTACGAGAATTGCAACCAGTTACAACCTTATTGAATTCCTACTTGAAGTCTAGTCTAAACCACCTCGAGAGATCTCTAGACACTTCCACGTGACCCTAGAGGCAGCTCCCGTAACAGTAGATTTAAAAAAGATTAGAAAGATATCCTTTATAAATAGAAATGATTATAATTAAATGAGATATAATAGAAAAGATTAAATAATTTAAATTAAAATATTAATCAAATTCTTAATTACAAATAATAATTAAAGAGGAAAGAATAATTATAAATTGAAAGGTAAAACAATGGTTAATTATAGTTTAAATAGTAATAAAACTAAGTTTATACTCAACCTTCTTTAATTATACCTAAATTATTAGAAGATCGATTTTCATTTAAATTAAAGTTAGTTAATATTATTACTTCAACTCTTTTCCCTACTCTATTACTTTATCCATTTAATAATTCATATCCTTTCGAACAAAAATAACTAAAAGCATTTTTTTTCGAAATACAACTTTTTAGATTTTTTTGTAAATCAAATTATATTAATAAAATTAACTTTATTAAAATATGGTAAAGTTATAATTTATCTTTATTATATTATTATATTTAGTAATGATCGATTAATATTAAAGAAATAGAGTATAAATCTATTTTTTAAATAAACATTTACATTTATATTTTATATTTAAACAAAGTAGTTAATAAATTTAATTAGAAGTTTAATTGGGAATATAATAATAAACACTATCATCTTTTCCAGAGATATAGTTATAAATACAGCCAGTACAGATTCAATTATCTTTATGAATATATTATTCCTATAATAGTATTATCTTTTTTAATAACTTTCTACTCAAAAACCTTAACTTGTTAATATTAATGAAATTAATACTTTAATAATAAACTATATCAAAATTATAATTAGATTAATTTTGACGTAAATCCTTCATAATCTTTTTCCTTGTAATTTTATTCTTTTTAAGATCTTGAAAATAATATACTATTATGGCCAATTTATTAGCAAACTTTTTTTTATAATTATTAATATAATCGAAAAGAGAATTATATTTCTTCTTTAAATTTTGTTTTAGAAGATAATAGTATGGATATATTTAATAAATGTATTGATAGTTAATTATATCTTCGAACACATTATTCTTGGTATTTATAATCATATTTATTAGGTAAGCCGATTATATTTCGAGGGAGGATGAAAGGAAAAAGTTCATTTATTTATATCTTTATAATTTAATTCATTATTATTATAATCCTCTAGCTTGAATTCCAGAATGTTTTTATTATCATTCGATTTTTTTATAATAAAATGCTTACCCTATAAAATAAAAGATATAGCCTTTTATTTCATTATAAACTATTAATAGAATATATTAATACTGAAAATATAAAAGATATAATAAACAATTTACTATTATATATATTATTTTTTACTATTTCAATTACACCAATAATAATTTACTTTTACCACTACGAATTCTCAATAATATTAAAGATATATTAATAATAAAGAATAAAATGAAATAAAATGATTAAAAGAAATAAGGAGATTAAAAAGATCTATATACTTTGAAAATTCGAATTATTATTAAAACTATAGAATAATATATTTCATTTTTTATATACCTTTTTATTATAAAAAAGTAAAGTTTGTACTCAAACTGGTTTATTATATTATTCAATTATATAAATAATAATATTTTATTACAATTATTGATATATAAATTAAATAGGTAATTATAAAGTTTAAGGGTAAGTTTTTTTAAAAAAGAAAATAATATTATGGATTGGTCTTAATTATAATTATAATTGCTTATATATATATATACATATATATATATAGCTAATATATAGGTATACTTTATAAACACTTTACTCTCAATTCTATAGTTATAGATTCTAAGGATAAATTGTATTTTGTTTTTGTAGTTTTTCTATGGCAAAGTGTTACAGATTTAAAGTTTTAAAATATTATTTTTTAATTTATATAAAAATCATATAAAAAATTTACTTTTTTTAAAAATCTTGAACAACTTTTCAATGAAAATTACTAAAAGTAAATTATAAACTTTTATCATAAATTCATATTATTTATAATATGAAAGATTTAAAAAAAATTCAATTAACAAGTATTTATAAAGATAATTTCGAAATTGTTTTAATTTTAATAATTAATTTTATAAAAACCATTAGAATTAAAGTTTTGAGAATAAGATTAATAGAATTTATTTAATTAATAGTATAATCTTATAGTTTAAAACATTACTTTTTCATAAAAACTCAAACATATAATAAGTTTAAGAGGTTTAGATTAATAGGTTCTTAATAAAATTATAGAAAGCAGCGATGAATATAAGTTTTAGAAATCGAGCAATGGAAGTGAAAACTATCTATGGGATAGATGATGACTCATGTAATTTGCTTGCTCTTGGCTGCGAGTGAGTATCTTAGCGCAAATGAGCTCCAGAAGCTTACATGTAAACCTCCAAGTGGGTTCACGGAGCCCTCATACGGGATGGAAACTCCTGGTGGAAGGTTGACATCTAAATGTGGCTGGTGACTGTGGCTTATCGGGCTGGTGCGGAAAAGTAACCTCGGGAGAGTGAACCAAGATTCTTAACCCCCCGATATCCTAGCCGATCAATGATCCGGTTGTTTTTCCCAAGTATCTGTTTGATGTCGTCTCTCAATTACAATGAGCACTTCTAATGTAATTTATTGTCAATCTTATATTTGAGGAAAATGCTCGGTTGAAGTTTGTCTATAGGGTTCATATCCGCAAGTATGTCGGATGTGAACCCCTCATCGTCGGAACTTCGCTATGGGAACATCTCGGACCGCAACCTGTCTTAACATTGATACAAATCTATGATTCGCAAGTCAATAAATTCCAGGATCCATGAATATACTAATAAATCATTCAAACCCACGGAGAACTCTGGGTAATACCATTGGTAACATTTAGTCAGGTACACGGAAGAAGAGCGGGGCATACTTCGGAACTGAATTGCCCCTCGGTCCTTAGACAAAGTATATATAAGATGAATGGACTTGCAATGCCAATGGAGGTCTCGTTTCAACGTTTGATCTTTTGATTCTTGTACATCATAAAGTTTTCAGAAGAGGTCTATATCACCATGGACAATTCTACCAAGAACATGCCAGCAGATCATTCTGGTTCAACACCATATTCCGTAATTACTGGTTCTCAAGAAGCTACTCAAACTCTACAGCAATTGGTCAGTAGTGAACTTCCCTCAGAGGTTTTGAAACATCTAGAAGATGTTACTTATACAACTGCAACCGATGGAACTCAAATCTATTTCCCGTGTCCTTTCAAAGAAACCGAAGCTACAGTTGCATTGAAATCAGTCGAAGCAAGCGTTGTAGCTGCTATTGCGGATCTTCGTTATGGAGAACAAAAAAGAAAAATCGAAATCAATCTTGAGCAAACTGCTACTTTCTTATTTTCAACTTATATTGCTACAATTGCTGGAATGAATAAACAACACCCTGATGTTAAATCGAAACTAAAAGGTATTTTCCTTTAGTATATTTCAGGAATATTTATTGATACATTTCACAGATACCGATTTGCTCAAAGCACAAGCTATCTTGTATCGCAGACTTTCAGCGAACCTTTATGAAACTAAGAACCAAGGGGAATACTTTCATATCCATGGATCATTAGAAGCTGGAAAAACATTGAATATGATCGGATTGGAAGCATATCGACCAGATCTTACAGATTATAGGGAATGTATTGATGTTATTGAAAAGCATGTCAAACAATATACGGCCGCTGAATTGGAGATCATGAATGCTGAAATAGATCAAGCTGGTGTGACAGCTTTGAAATGGGAAGATTTCAAAGAGACAAGCCATGTAAGAATTTTCATCTCACTCTATTCTATTTTACTAACTTACCATATAGGGCCAAACACTTCTCAACTTACCTCCATGGCAACTCGATAGACTTCAAGATGATTCTCCACCATGTCCATTCCCAGAAATTGCTCCCGGAACATCTACTTCCAAACCTCAAGTGTTATCCGGAATTCGTGTACTAGAATTATGTCGTATTATTGCAGGGCCTGCTATGGGTCGAACACTCGCTGAATATGGGGCTCAAGTCATCAAAGTCACATCTCCGAACTTATCTGATGTTCCATTTTTCCAAGTCGATGGAAATACTGGTAAACATACCGCGGATATCGATCTTAAAACGCTAAGTGGTCGTGCGACGTTTGAGGAATTACTGAAATCTGCAGATCTTATTCTCGATGGATATAGACCTGGAGCTTTAGAACGATTAGGGTATGGACCTGAGAATATCGTAAAATTGATTTCTGGAAGAGGAAAAGGGATTGTGTATGTCTCCGAAGATTGTTTTGGTTATCAAGGAGAATGGGCTGGCAGACCTGGATGGCAACAAATCGCAGATTGTGTAACGGGAGTAGCCTGGGCTCAAGGAGAATTCATGGGGCTTAATGAACCTGTCGTTCCTCCTTTTCCCATGTCTGATTATGGAACTGGATGTATGGGTGCTATTGCTGCCTTGGTGGGATTATATCGAAGAGCTAAGGAAGGAGGTAGTTGGAGAGGCACAACTAGTCTTTGTCAATATGATGTGTTTTTATTGGAATTAGGATTATATGGCGATGATATCAAAGAAAAGGTTAGAAAAGATCATGATGATCATTTCTTCGATCTGAGACATGCGGATAGTGTGGATGAAGTTGGCGGGAGAGCACTAAAAAGTATGAGGAGAGCACATCCCGAATTATTCGACGAGAAAAATATGCAAAAGACATTCAGCAAAGGATTCGGCGAAGAAATCAAATGGTGCAGAAGTCCCGTCTCAATTGAAGGAATACGAGTCGGATTCGAAAGAGCCAGTCGTCCAAACGGATATGATAAACCGACGTGGGAGGATTGGGAAATCGAGAAAGAAGTGGTGGAAGGATAAATTACCCACTTTGCTTTGGATAGGATATCATATATCAAATTTTGTATCACAGAAGCGAATACGATGCTCACTCATATTAATGACCTCGCTTGTTGTCATGTGTAACCATCGCCAACGCATTTATATTGCATGGACATCTCGCAAGCGCGTGCACTCTTTTTGCCTAATCACAACCCGGAAGCGCGGGATGGGATGGCGTATTGCCTATACTACTTTAATTCTATATTTGCATGCTTTATCCAATGGTAGAATAGAACGTCGATACATGAATCATTCTATAGTAAGAATATTACGAACAAGTCCCGGTGATTTGGAGGGGTAATCTAATGTGTATTAATAGATCGATTTCATCGCATGGCACATATTTAGTTGGGTTTTCGAGTTGCTTGGCAAGCTCAATTATAGAAACTTCAGGGTGGGATTGGTGACAATAGTGTTTTTTGTTGCAAATCGATTTCTGAATCTTTGGAGACGAAGAGATGGCTTGCAGGAGTTTAGGGCGGGGCTTTTAGTGGAGAATAGGCTTAGGGTAGGGGAGTTAATTGGTGTGAAGTTTTTGGAGTGGGTTTTTAGGAACGGGTCAGATGGATGGGGATGGAGAGGGGGCTTGTCGGGGAGGTAAGGGGTTGGGCAAGGAAATGGGGGGTGGTTTGTAAATGGTGAGATGAGTTTAGTGGGTGATGTGTTGCGGCTCGGGCTGAGCTTGGACTTGGACTCGAGGTTGATGACGGATGAATGGGTGGATGGACGGTACTTGGAGTCAGCAAAGGTACTTACTGCTGACTTCGTAGAAAGTGTCTCGTAGTCTTCAAGCATCAACCCTGATGGAAGGTTCCGAGAAGTAACGGCCGCACCCGCTGACACATATATGAGAGAGTATATACTGCCCGGAATCAGCGAATAGAGATCCGAGTGGATTTCCAGGTAAGAATGATGTGTATCGAACATCATGTTCTTCATACCTATCTTACCTATGAACAAGCTTCTCCTTCTACAAGATAATTGAAACATCGTAGGTGAGAATGTAAGCCTCTAGTGAAGCAGCCAGTAAATGACAAGCTCGGGTGGGCTTGTACAATTGAAAGAGAAGCAAGAATTGTGAATGGAGATCCCGTGTTTTTATGCGTTGGATGTGATGTTACCACACACGACATGGCTTAATGAGATATGGGATGTGATTTGTTGTTCAGTGACTTCTTGGAGTTTTGGGCCCTGGGGTTGGTGTGTGAAGTTGGAGGTGTTGGGATGGGTGATTGATTGATTGAGGTGAGGGAAGACGGAGGGGGGGTTAAAGTTTGTTGTGGATTTGGGGGGTGATTGGATTTGCGTAAATACTGCGTTGAAGCTATAGTTGGGATATGCGGTGGTTCTGGCGGAATTAGAGTCGTGAACTTATAGTGTGTGAGGTCAAAATGGATTGATCTTGATGAGAGATGATTTAGTATAGTTAGTTTCCTTATCTTCTTTGGTTTGTGTTTAGGTCTGTGTCTGTGTGCAACTGAGGGGAGCGGGCCTTTTGTATTCACTTCGGCTTGTTGTACTTGTACCTGAACGATCATGAAACTTTATAAGCGTTGGTTTATTTGATGACTTGCAGTTTGTAACTCGAAACTGTAAGGGCTTTCAACGAGGAACTTATAGATGCTATAGCAGATCTATATGTTGTGAGCATGATACTGCAACACTTTGTATACATTTCTCTAGGATGAAGAGGTTAATGAATTTATTATATCTTTGATATTTGACAAATGGCGTGTAATTTCATCTGGATAATAATTGCTTTGTAGAGAAATGACAACATGAAATATTCAGTAGCAGTAGTATTGCAATAATATTTATAACAGCAGGAGATTATCATGGTCATTCCCGCAATATTCACACTCACATACAATATATTCTATAACCAGATGTTCAAAATATAGACCCTTCGTCGGACAACGAATAATGTTGGCCATTGATTTAAAATCCCAGCCTTTGAACTTTTCAGCAGTCAGTCCAGCCACTCTTCGCTCTGAGCATGTCAATTAGGAAAAGAAAGTTGGAATACTTGCGATTTATGTACACAGTTCATGGAAATAGGATGTCCTCTATTCACTGTCATGTAGTATCATATTGATTACGCCAGCTTACCCCTCTTTTAGGGTTTGTAGTTTCCCTAGGGGTTTCAGTGGCTAGAATTCAGCTGAGAAGATAATCGTGTAGATGACTGTATTGGTTGGTCTATGGGAGCTTACCAAGCTCGCGATATGAATAGATTGTCTCACAGAAGTTAATAATCTACTGGTTTGAGGGAGTTTGAGAAGCTTTAGGCTTTGCTTCGCACTGCTTTGTGGCTTTATATAAAATTTGCTAACTTCAGTATTGCTCTTTCGGATCGGAAATCGAAGAACGCAACGTTGAAGAAGAATGTGAGTGCAGTAGGCTTCTACAGCTCTCTACGATTCTGCTCTAGCTTTGTATGATGATCTCCCTGCTATAGTCCGTTCAGACACCGGACTATTCTACTTTCTGGGAGTGATGATAGAGGTTTTGTCTCTTGTACAGCGAGTAAGATATTACGTATAAATCCAATGACGAGAGCATGGTGAGTGACAGCATTTAGTCAGTCATTATTGCCGGCTTAAATTCTGAAACTTCTCATCGACTCGTTTTTCGAACTTCTAATATTTATCAAGTGAGAGACTGATTCAATATCGAAATAGTGGCTCGAAAACCAATTCTTGTGCCCTGGAGCACGACCAAGGCTCATGAGAATCGATGAGTATAGATTTTCAGTCTTTTTTCTGAACCATGCCGAAACTGCAGCTTTTCTACACTCGTTCAGCGAAGCTTATCCTGTATTGCAAGAAAGTGATTCACTCAAACCTGTCTTGATCCACCTTCTTCCACTTACAACTTGCGTGTCCTGCTGTGGAGAACCTGGGGAATCTCTCAGTTGTATATATGCTGGGCTGTACATAGTATTGCATTGATCAAACAGAGCATGCTGGCAGGCTTCTATTGTAGGAACTCTTCTGAATGTGCAAGAGTAGCATATCCGCTGCAAGTAGATTATCAGAGGATTCTAGACAAACTTCCTCTTGTTAGATACCAGGAAGCTGAGATATTATCCTGAGGAAGCGGAGGATCAAACTCCAAGATTTCATATCAGAATATCATGTTACATCGGTTAGAGCGATAGTTACAACGTTCAAACAACAGTACAAATTTACATTCGTACTCGACAACAAATTTGTGTCACGATAGACATATTACTTTCCCTGCTTCAATCAAGCCTGGCTCGACTACAGCTTGGCAATTTTTTGACAGGCCAATGCAATCTTCTAATCATGGGTGGTCGATCCAGTAAGCTTTCTTCATCAGGTGAAGAATAAAGTTGAAGTATAATTTCTGCCTCTTTTATAGTGTAACCTAGTGATTGGAATACCTAGTATACGAGGTATTCTGTATACGCCCCACTCTAGTGAGGTGCATTGCATTTCTATTACATATTTCAATATATATTATTGAATATCATATCACCAGAATTACTAAAACTATGTATAACACTATTAGGATACGGAAATACGGGAACTCAATAAATTCCAATGAATTCCAATGAAAATAGCTTCAATATTGCCCATTTGGGAAGAGATTTATTGAATATTTCTGACCTCCCATAGGAATGTAACTGAAACCCTTAGGAATTCACTAAAATCCAGTAGTTCAATATATTACCAGTATTCTTTAACAAGTCAACTACCCCACTTTCCGACCACCCCCTCTTTTCGACCACCTCAAAAACCACACCGCTTTGAGTAATTATAAAATTTATACTTTGAATAACTCAACAATGCTTTAATCAATTGATTTGAAATTTTGATATTATTATAATTGTGATATGAAGAATAGATATACCGAAGAAGATATCGCAGAGGCTCTTAGAGCGATTACAAATGGAGCAAGCATACGAAGAGCTAGCTTGGATTATGGTGTTCCACGTACCACACTTCACGATCGAATATATGGTGGAGTTTCGCATCAAAAAGGCGCCCAAATACTTCAAAAGTTATCTCCAATTCAGGAGAATCGACTAGCAGAATGGATATTAGTACAGGAAGCTCTTGGTACTAGCCCTACACATCGTCAAATCAGAGAGATGGCAGAGCACCTCCTTATTGTACGAGGGGAGGATCCCTCACTTGGAAAGAAATGGATACATAGCTTTTTTCGAAGGCATCCTAATATTGGAACTAAGAAGCAACATCAAATCGATTCTGCACGAGTTTCAGGTGCTACATCTGATATTATTAAGAAGTGGTTCCGGAACCTCGCAATCCCTGAAATCAAGGCTATTAAGCCGGCCAACAGATGGAATATGGATGAAGCAGGTATAATGGAGGGTCAGGGTCTTAATGGACTAGTAGTAGGAAGCACTGATCGAAGATTTATTCAAAAAAAGCAACCTGGATCTCGAATTTGGACCTCTTTTATAGAATGCATTTCAGCCAATGGAAAAAGCATTACTCCCCTTGTAATATATAAGGGAAAATCAGTTCAACAACAATGGTTTCCAACAGATTTGACTCTATTCAAGGGTTGGAACTTTACCGCTACAGAAAATGGATGGACTACAGATGCTACAGCTTTAGAATGGCTGAAAAAGATCTATATCCCTCAAACTACCCCTATTCAGCCGGAAAATTCAAGACTCCTCATTTTGGACGGACACGGAAGCCATGAAACTACAGCATTTATGTTAGAATGCTTTAATAACAACATATATCTCTTATTTCTCCCACCACATACGTCACACGTACTACAACCACTCGATTTATCTGTGTTCTCACCCCTAAAAAGTGCATATCGAATCGAACTTAATAAATTAAGTCTATTATCCGATTCCTCACCAATTGGAAAGCGCAATTTCCTTTCTTGCTATCAGAAGGCTAGAATAGAAGGTTTAACTATTCAAAATATCAAGTCTGGGTGGCAAGCTAGTGGTCTTTGGCCCAAAAATATGGCTAAACCTCTTATGAGTCGACTTTTGCTTGAAAATAGCAATAGAGAGGTTTTATCACTTAATCCTGAATCTGATGATGATCCTATTCTTCAATGGAATATATATTCATCGTTTATTCAATGGAAAACCCCTCAAAAAGGAGCCGATATCAGAAAATATAGAGATATAATGATTCAAGAGAAGGAGATCGATTTGCCAACACGAAGATTACTATTTCGCAAGATTATAAAAGGATTCGATGCTAAGGATTATGAACTCTTAGAGGCAGAGAATAAGATTAGAAAGCTAGAATATCAATTAGATGAAGCATTACCTAGAAAAAGGCGAAAGGTTGTGGTATCTCCAAATTCGAAGTTCGCAGGGATTAGAGCTATAAGGCGTACACAAATTGAAGCTGGAGATCGTGAAGATGAGGTAGATGATAGCTCTAGTGCTATAGAAAGTGATTCTACAGGCGATTTCATTGAAGTTCAATAGTTATTGAGTTATTAAAGTTTTAAGTGTAGATAATA